AAGATAGTATATCATTCCACTAGCATATCCATAATTTCAAGCATTATTAACCTCTATATTAAACCCACAACAAGGAAGATACACTTGATAAGCTGAAAAGCCTAAATCAATCGACTTTCTCTCTACCTTTGTTAAGCAAAGGTGAGCTTTTATTAATCAAAGGTCTCAACATCAGCTTCACCTGGAATCAAGATTCCTTCAAACTGTAGATGAAGATGAGATTGATCTTTGAAACATGGTGTGACATTGCGAACAAGAGAGGAACAAAATTTGTTTTGATTTACCTGAATGAATGCCATGAAAAGAACAAAAGTGGCCCTCTATTCTCTAAAACGACGCCACGTCAATAAGCCTTCAACTTTGACTTTTCAATAATCAATTTATAAGTTAGAAATGTTTTCTGACTCGGCTAATGAATTGGCAAAGAAAGGCCACACACATCACAGTAACATTTTTTAATTTATTCAACTTCAAACAATCTCTGTAGATTCACATCCCCCTCACGGACATTTCACATGTAATACATATATATAAATGAAGTAATAAACCACATGTGAAATAAGAGCACTTTCTTTTATTGATAAGATAAAATGTATATACAAACTATATACATTCACATATATATGCAAAACATAATGCCTCGGAACCGATGACACGATTGGTTCCTAGGGCATACACTAACAGGCAGATTGCAAAGCATACAAGGTATTGAGTTTACCCCAAAGTTAAATAGGTGATTCAAATCTGTCTACCTTCCTGAGAACGCTGTTGGACAGGTTCATGATTATCAAGTTGTATGCCTCCTCATTGATCTCCTCTTTCTTCTTCAGCTTCTCCTCTGGCCACTTCGTGGAGTCCTCTTCTAGTGCGATGGCAACCTTGGTGTGAGAGAGCAGTGCTTTCAATTTTTCTTCCAACTCCCGAAGTCAATCTTCCCATCATATTGGGAGATTTCAATTCGGGTGGTGGTATTTTTCATGGTGAAGTGTTTGGTAAGGTTTGTGCGAAAGAAACGTCAAGAACTACACTCTGTTGTTGAATCTTCAAGAAACGGGAATACCCTAGGTTTACACTGCTAGTGAGATCTGTGCTAATTCGTTCTGAATAACACTCCTCTAGTCTCCAATTTGATTTCTAAACCCTAAAATTGAGAAAGCCCCAATTTAATCGGCAATCCAAAAAAACCCTAGAAATCTCATATTGGAATTTAACCCGATAACTCCCTAATTTCTTGTAACCTAACGCTCTGATACCACTTTATAACCACACGCACACAGGAATCAACCAAACAAAGATCACAATTAAGAATCACAACCAACACGCACAAGAACAACCAGAATTTTACCGTGGTTCACTTGCTCTATTTCGAGCAAGCTACGTCCACGTTGAGCTCGGGAAACACACAAGCTCGCTGCACTAAATCACTGTCAAGATTACAGATTACACACAATACCACAAAACCCTTAAACCCCTTCTTCAACCTGTAACTAACACTAGAGATTATACCCTTTCAATCCCTACTGACTGCGTATACAAATACACCCTGAATGACCTAACCTAGTCACTCAATCACCAAGTTACAAGATTCACACAACCCAAATTGAAACCCTAACAGACTCAATATTGTGTCAACGAAGAAGAGAGAGTTTCACACAAAAGTTACTGTGTACAAAATGCCAAAATAGATCTGTTTTATATGGTTGACTGTAGGGTTTAATTCCAGCTGTTAGATCTTCTCTTCGTCAACGCTCAGGATTGTTTTCTCAGTTCAGATCAAAACGATGTCGTCCCATTTAAGTTCTAATACGACAGTGTTTCAAGCCATCATCCAACATGTACTATTCCAACGGTCCAACCATGGCTCAATCCGGTTTGTTTACAAATACCGGTTTTCAGAGGATATCGGACCGGAGATGCCACTGGCTCTCGGTTGAACCGGTTTGATCGGACGGTCTGGTCCAGTTTTCAGAACACTAATCTGTACAAAAGACACGAAACCCTTCGGGGTTATCCTGCAATTGTTTCACAAGGTAAAATATGTGCACTATGATTTATACATATGCAAAACTTATATAACAGTCGTTCTTCCCCACACTTATAATCAAATTCTTTGTATAATAAATTAATAATAAGTAGGACTATGAATCAATTTAGTTAGCATAAGGTTGGTCTGTTCCGAGCTATATATGTCTCAAGAAATAAATTTAATTCATAATTATAAACTGTTTCGATTAAGTTGCTTCGCCCATTCCCATTATCAGTTCCTTGAATGCCTAAATATAGATAATGGGGAATCAAAATTAGCGTGCAACAAATATCCACCCCATTCTGAATATCAACCGTTCCTCTTCCCATATATGTAATAAATAAATATATATATGGCTTTTCTATGTGACGTTCTCTCTGAAAACAAGCATAGCAAACCCCCAGTCCAAAGTAAAGTTGAAGCTTTTTATTGACAAAAAGACTGAGAAAGTTGTTTTTGCTGAAGCTGGCAAAAACTCTGTAGATTTTCTCATGCACTTTGTCTCTTTACCTCTTGCCACTATTGTTAGGCTCTTAAAAAAGGAAGGCATGATTAGTTCCGTAGGAAACCTCTATGAGAGCATTCAAAATCTTGCTGATTCCTACTTGCTGCCAAACCAAGTCAAGAACTCACTGCTACATCCCACAGCTCTTTTATGTGCTACTGACATGCCTCTTGTGCTGTCTGGTACGCAGAACCGAACGCCATACGTTTGTCCTGACCGTCATCCGTATGTGGGTGATGTTCCGAATTCGCTTTGTCCTCTTCCTTACTGTAAGAAGAAGATGACCACTACGTTTAATTATGTTCCTCCACCGCCAGCAAACACAGGGATACCTGTTGAGGGAGGATTTGTAAAGTGCTTATTGACTTTCATTGTAATGGATAATTTGGAGTTTATGCCTATGTCTACTAACCAATTATTTGATTTGCTTAACAAATGCAATGTTAAGGAATTTGGTGCACTTGAGGAGATAGTTGTGGAGTTGGGGGTGGATGAGGTAAGTCCTTCTGTTTACATTATTCAATTAGTTAATTTTTATATACATGTCAATAGTTCTAAATTCTAATGACTGATGCAGTATTGAGAGTTACCGAGGCCGAGGCATTCTGCTTTATATATTTATGTCTGTTGCTAGGGTCTGAAGCTGCTGAAGTTATCAATGGAATGCCAGACAGTTTTAACAAGTTTTTTACTTTGGCAATGTGGTGGATAAATGAAGTACTTTTGCAGATGGTGCAGGGTTTTTTTTTTTTATCCTCTTATTTTTTTATTTTTTTTATTTTTTTTTGTGTGTGTGTGTTTTCAACTGTACTCTTTGTTGGTCTTCCTCTGTTGTTCTGGTTTTTATTCATTAAAACTCGATGTTTTCTGAGTATTTGATATCCTCTGAACTTGTATAATATAGAAAAATACCAAAAAATGCTGTTAATGAAATATTTTCATAAAAAATTTCAATAATATTGATACACATTGTTTACAAAAGACAATTATATTTCAACCATTTATTGTAGAATGTCATCAGTTGCAAAATCCATCATACAAAATTGTTTAATACTACGGCATCTACAATATCATAATCCGAACTTTGTAATTTAACTGATGTGATAATTGATTTATGATGAGTTAATTTGAAAAGTGTATTAACTATCTCAAACCAATTTCTACTGCTAAAGTAGCACTTCCATGAAAATTTGATCCAATTGCTTCTTGTTCTTTCTAACCTTCTTCAAACTAACAATTCTGAAGTTTCTTTTTTTAACTAAATTTAAATGGAACTAACACCGCTTCCACAAAAAAAAAAAAAAGAGTAAACAGGGGAGACCATTTTCTAGGTGACCCTATTTAGTACAACCCTCTTATATTTTTCTAAAAGGAAATATATAATTGACAGATCAAATTGTTAGCAGTATTCCACATTGTAATTGTTGTGCTTTTCAACCCGAATAATAATCGAACCAGGCTCATGTTCCACCTAATGAACTAACCCCATAAGATTAAGTATCAATCAACCACAAAATTATCAATAAACATCAAGAAATAGAGAGAAAAACAATAAAATGAAAGGAGACAAAATCGATTATAGTGATTCGGCACTCAAAGTCTACATCCACTCTCTAAGGCAAGATAGTATATCATTCCAACTAGCAATATCCATAAATTTACAAAGCATTATTAACCTCTATATTAAACCCATCAACAAGGAAGAACTACACTTGATAAGCTGATAAAGCCTAAATCAATCGACTTTCTCTCTACCCTTTGTTAAGCAAAGGTGAGCTTTTATATAATCAAAAGGTCTCAACATCAGCTTCTACCTGGAATCAAGATTCCTTCAAACTGTAAGATGAAGAATGAGATTGATCTTTGAAACATGGTGTGACATTGCGAACAAAGAGAGGAACAAAATTTGTTTTGATTTACCTGAATGAATGCCATGAAGATAAGAACAAAAGTGGCCCTCTATTCTCTAAAACGACGCCACGTCAATAAGCCTTCAACTTTGACTTTTCAATAAATCAAATTTATAAGTTAGAAATGTTTTCTGACTCGGCTAATGAATTGGCAAAGAAATGCCACACACATCACAGTAACATTTTTTAATTTATTCAACTTCAAAACAATCTCTGTATATTAACTCCCATCATTTTTCTGCTTTATTTTCTCGCATGGTGCTTGAAGATTCTTTCATTAATGGTATGCTGCTTTTGAATTTTCGCTCATTCCCACTACCCTAAAGCTTAAATGATTCTAAACAAAAAGTAACAATAATTACAACCACGGGCATGCATAGGAAACCCAAAAGCGGCGTGCGGCACCTTCATTTCTAATTAATCGCCAACGATTCATCTTCCTGTGTAGTGGATCCTGGCCGACTTTACTTGCCTATATATATATTTAGCTTTACAATATACGAAATCCATATCAGTTTCCAATTCTATTCACCTTGTTCTGTACACTCCAAAATTAGCCATGGCAGATACCAAAGTGAAGTTGAAGCTTCTTGTTGACACACAAGCTAAAAAAGTCCTATTTGCTGAAGCGGGGAAAGATTTTGCGGACTTTCTCTTTTATCTACTTTCTTTGCCTGTTGGCACTTTCGTTAGGGTTATAGAAAAGAAAAGCATGGCGGGCTGCCTAGGTAACCTTTACGACAGCATTGAAAATCTTTCCGAAACATATATTCAACCAAACCAAAACAAGAGCTCTCTTCTAAATCCCAAGTCTCCAATTTATGCTACCGAAATACCCGTCTTGGTCTCTGATCATGAATTGAATAGCTCAAAGGTTTACATGTGTCCACACAATCATTTGAACGTGGCTGAAATTCCAGACTTGGTATGTCCACAGTGCAAGGAGAAAATGACCACTGAGGTTCCTTATGTAAATGCTAGTAGTAATTCTGAGGCAACAAACACCACGACCGTGGCTGAGGGAGGGTTTGTTAAAGGGGTGGTGACTTACATGGTAATGGATAACTTGGAGTTGCAGCCAATGTCTACTATATCAAGCATTACTTTGCTTAACAGATTTAATGTTAAGGATGTGGGTTCACTTGAAGAGAAGGTTGTTGATTTTGGTGTTGAAGAGGTATGTCAAACACCTAGTTTTTCTGTAATTGATTATTGAAAATATTTAGTATAATTCATGAATTTAATTCTTATACATATTCTTTTTTGCTAGGGTCTGAAGCTGCTGAAGGCATCTTTGGAATGCAAGACTGTTTTAACCAGTATTTTCCTTGGAAATATTGCGCCACAAAAAAGAAGATGTGCCTAGTGAGGCCTTCTTGTTTGATGGGAAGTTGAAAGCTAGTGTAATTTTGAGAACTACTTTGTTTTCAGAATTATTTTGGGGCCTTGTTTTTACAGGCAGAAATGTTTTGTGCTGCTCTTCTTTTGAGCATATTCTATTTTGCTGTTTTTTGAAGTAATGTTTCGGATATTAATAAATAAGATATAGTATTTTTAAGTTGGCATAAATACCAATCCAAAGTTAATTAAAGGAAAGAGAGAGTCCAATCACATATATACACTATATCTATCCATTAACTTGGTGACATGAGACAAATTCAACTTCATGAAAGGTAAATAATACCCGAGCCTGGAAAACATGAATGAAGCTTTACGTAACCTATGCCTGAGCCTTGAGAACGTGAACGGAGCGAACTTGCAACCCGGTTGAAACAAACTTGAGCTCTTGAAATTCCAACTTGACCTTTTGAAATCCCGTGAAGCAGCCGCCTTGGTGAGTTATATGGCGAGGGATGATTTGTCAGTGACACCAGCGTCAAAGATATGTGGCATTGATTTCCTACAGCAGAATGTTAGGGATACTAGTGCCCTGGAAGAAAGAGTTTTTGAATTTGGCACTGACGAGGGAAGGAGTTCATCTCTGGCTTCTTTATATTGTTTTTGAATTATGTTTAGTTTTGGGAAACAATGGTTTAAACTGTTTAATTCCAAAGTGTAAACTATAACTTGATTTGGGTCGGAACGTTTGATTTAGGTTAAGCCATAATGGTTTGTTTTCTGTACATTTCAGGTTCTGGAGCCGTTGAGCACTTCATTAATACCGGATGCAGCTCTCACTTCTGTTTTCCTCCATATTTTTTCTAATTTTCGCTCATTCCCACTACCCAATAACTTAACCTTAAATATACTGAACTAAAACAATAAAAAGTGTTACACCTGTGCCTTAAGAAGATCATAAGCAACAAATAATCAATTATCAAGGATTGAGGTTGACTGCTTTTTGATATTCAATTGGAGAAGCCCCGTTTATTTTTTTTTTTTTTTTTTTTTACGGTTGCGGAGTTATCGGTTTGAACAAAGATTGACTCACATGTATGCAATTGCAATCTAAGAAGCACATCTATTCGTAGACTCCCTCTGTAAATGAGCTCTTATTTTGAGCTCTCTTGTTGTCCCCTTGCTACCGTTATGTTAATTGGAAATTCTTGTACATAAATCTTTATAACATTACTCATTTACTGATGCATTATATATTGGATTAAGTTTTCGTTTGTTCATCAGATTGAGTAAGTTTTGGTGTGAGATTGCTACTGATATCGAAATTGCTGTTATAGCTAATATGAAGATCAGAATGAAAAGGTGCAGTAAGAAAGATTAACTGAAGATTGTCAAGATTAATCAGAAAATTAAATCAAAAGACAGGAAAGATGTTTAGTTTACAGGAAGATATTGAGCTAAAGATTAGAAAGGTGAAGTCAGGAAAGATGTTTAGTTTAAGGGGAGATATTAGACAAAGTTAATATGTGACTGCTGGTGTGTGTGTAAGATTGTAGAGTTAGTTTGGGTTAATTTGAACTCAAAACTATTGTAAAAATGGTGCGTTTAGACTCTAACTAACATACAAAAAACAGTCCCAATATTAGCAAAAGAGGGAGGCACTAGAATTGGTTTAGGTAAATCAGAAAAGTAGTAGATGATCATTTGTGAGACTTGAAAAGTCATAATCATCTAGTGAGACTCGAAGAGACTTCTAGATATGTTAAGATCTTACTATCCAGTCACAAGCCAAATGATTGGCTTATGATTGTTACTAAAGATTGGGACAGAGGGAGGGGATCAAGGAGGGTCAATTAAGTATTAAAATATTTTGATAAGTTATATAAATTTGCCCATAAATGAAAAATAAATTACAAAAAAACTCCAATCTATCGAACAAGTTACAATTTTTTTTTTTTTTTTCGGTGTTTTGTGGTTGTCAAAACTCAAAACTAAACCTCTCTTTCTCTACTTCTCGGGCTGTCCTTTCTCTATTGCCCATATCTAATTCAATAACCTAGGTTTCAAAGTTTTTCCTAAATTTCTAATTCTTTATCCACATAAATACAGTTTTCTCTCACCTATCAAGTCGACAAGCTCCTTTTTTCTTTAATTTGTGCTTATTTTAATTTAAAATTATATTGTTCTTCTAACTTTGACCCTCTTACATTTTATTTTTAGTTATGTTCTTGACTAAACGTATGATGCATACACATAAACTATAAACTATATTAGTAAAGATTGGCTCACAACCCAATCTTACAAACTTTCTCTCACAATACGACGTGGTAGCTCATAATGGGAAGATGAGACTCACTGCAAGCTAATCAATTGCGAGCTAACATGTAGGAGTTATAAGAAAATGTTTGTGAGATTGAGTTGTAAGTTTAGTATTATCTAAACTTTATTATAATATTTTATTACTTAGGATCAAGGTAAAGGTGTTAGCAATATTTTAAAGACTAGGAACTAAAATTGTAAATTTATGGTAATGGCTTAGTTCTTAAATATGAATTCTGAAAAAAATTCTAAATATTATTTTGTCTTCAAAAATTGTTTTAAGGTTAATAATTTAAAAAAATAAATAAAAAAAGCTCTTATAGAACCAAAGCCCATGTCCATAACCATAAGTCAGCTGGGACTCAATCAAACATGTGAAAAGCCCGGCCCATAACGAAAGCAGGTTAAATTAGTAATTTTCGGAAGCATATATACAGGTTAATTTCATCGTCAAAAACCCTACTCTCTGAAGCCGCAGCAGCTCTTCTTCTTTCAATCTCTCAGTAAGTTTTTCCGTTGAACTTGAATTCAAAACGTTTTTGTTCTCTTTGAAAGCACTTTTACTTGTTTCCAAATGCATTATTTTCTACTATCAGTATCTCTTCTTGCTGTTTATTTTCCACTCATCTCAGAGATCTGCTTCTGTTTTAGGTCTCTTTCTTTTTTGTTCTTGTTCGTAATTTTTTGATTCAGTGTTTCTGAATTTCGTTTTGTCGGCTGACCTTTTTTATGTTTTGTTTGACTTTGTTGTTTTAACAGGGTAAGTAGTGCTTTACAGGAAGAGTGAAATGGCTCCTGCTAAAGGTAATTTTTTTTCATGAAATTTTTTTTTATCATGGTGTTCTTCATTAATTCATGTATAAGTAAGAGAAATAAATAAGAATGGTTTCCCTACTATGTTTGTTGTTTGTTTTTGTTGTATGTGTTAGTGTGTTATCTTCTGATTGATTTTACTTCCAAAACTTAGTTTTTGATAGAATAGGAACCTACATGGATGAGCTGTGCAAAAAAAGTTGCAAAATCGTTTGTAACAATATATGTTCCTAATTTTGTTGTTATGTCTATTTTCTCTGTGATTTGAATATTGCTTCTTGGATTTGAATTGCTAGATAGTTTGCACGGGTTATTTTTTGTTACAACATGAAACCTTTTTGCTAAGAAGTTAGAACATGAACTTTAGGAGAATGTCTATGAAATGATAGGATTTTAGCTTTCTTACTGTATAGATTTCTTGTGTTTCCAGACAAATATGGTTCATCAAATTTATTAGAGCTGTTACACTGAGTCTGGGAAATCCTTGAGTAAACTTTTTGTTATTTGTATTTGGTGTTCTTGGGTTTCAGTGTATGGTGCTTGTGACAGACCTGAAAACCTACTTCTGAATCTCTATTGTTTTTTTACCCTTTTTCCCAGAAATTTGCACAGTTAAATCCCTCTTTTTACTCATTGGTTGCTCTTCTCTTGCAGTTGACAGCACAAAAAAGAATGACCCAAAGTCTCAGGCCACGAAGGTTGCCAAGGCTGTGAAATCAGGGCCAACTTTTAAGAAGAAGGCTAAGAAGATCAGGACCACAGTCACATTCCATCGTCCAAAGACATTGAAGAAGGATAGGAACCCCAAGTATCCTCGCATTAGTGCCCCACCAAGGAACAAGTTGGACCACTACCAAATTCTGAAATATCCCCTAACCACTGAGTCAGCAATGAAGAAGATTGAGGACAACAATACCTTGGTTTTCATTGTTGACATTCGTGCTGACAAAAAGAAGATTAAGGATGCAGTGAAGAAGATGTATGACATCCAGACCAAGAAAGTTAATACCTTAATCAGGTAAATTTCTTTCACTGTATGTTCTAATTATTGAGGGAGTTTTGGAGGATACACCCTATAGTTAGCACATTAACACTTGATAGAATTGAATAGAACTACCTGTTGCCTTTTAGATGCTTGTTGAAGTCAATGTAGTTGATTTGAACCAATTACATGATATGTGTACTTTTTGATGAGATGACATGATAAAATAAGCCACATTCGAGTCAAGTTTTGTTGAGCAGTCTGAGAGATCATGGGATTGATGTTTTTTTATAAGTCTCCTGACTTCATTTTAGCATTGTATTTTTGCCATATCCTCTGCATACTGTTTCCAGCTTTCTAGTTTATCTTTAACTGGGCACTAGAACATTTGTACAATTCAATTGAATTCAAAATTATTTGTATTCTTTGTGATGCAGGCCTGATGGAACGAAGAAGGCATATGTTAGGCTGACCCCAGATTATGATGCCTTGGATGTGGCAAACAAGATTGGAATTATCTAAGTGATACAAATATGTACTGTTGACAGTTTTGTTAGGAGTGTTGCATTTTGTTAGGACTCCAATATCATTTTGGTTATCTTTAAATATGTGTTGGAATCTATCTTTTTTATTCAACTTTGCATGAGATGCCTGATTAAGATTTAAATGCGTAAATTCTCTACAATGCATTACGATTTGTGTTTTAACTTCTTTTCGAAGTAGTGTTGCAATTCTACATATTTTGAAACTTAGTTACTAAGATTGTTTCGGATGATCTGGTAGTTTAGATTCTTGATACTGTGATACCCTCGAATGGAATGAAAAGGTGAATGAAAATTGAAAGTGTCAAGGAATTTTTAAGAAGCTTCACCAATTGAGGATGCAGTAATTTTTAAGAAGTCTCACCAATTAAGGATGCTAGGGCCACCGTGGTTAGAAAAAAACTCGTTATAGAGCATTGACTGAAGTTTTCTTGATCACTGCTTGTTATTTTCCGTTTTCTCATGTATTAGATCGGTGCCTGGAAGTTAGGTGCCACAGTCAATTTGATTAATATTTTGAAAATTCTCTTTTCTCATTTAGATTCAAGTAACTTTATCTGCAGATGGAGGTAATTGATAAGCAAAGGGCAACTGGGTAGGCAGTAATAAAACTTATGTAAATATTAGGAATGTGGTCTTTTCATTACAACACGGGAGGAAAAACTCAGAATGGAAGCACAAAGAAAGTGAAAAAATTGGTGCCTGGAAGTTAGGTGCTACAGCTAACTTGATTAATGTTTTGAAAATTCTCTTTTCTCATTTAGGTTCAAAGAACTTCAGCAGCAAATGGAAGGTAATTGATAAGCAAATTGCAACTGGGTAAGCGGTAATACAATTTATGTAAAAATTGGGAATGTGGTATTTTCATTACAATACAGGAGGAAAAACTTAAAATGGAAGCACAAAGAAGGTGAGAAAATTGGTGCTTTGGTAGTGGAAGTCCTTGTATTATACAATGATTAGCACTCTTCAAGTAATGCTCCTTGGTGTGTTATGACGAGGGAACAAGGGCTATAAAATAAAACAATCAGGCCTCATAAGTCTGGAAAATGCACAATGGTGCTTGTAATTTCAGAGGTGAGTCTGATAAGCAAATTTAGAATAACCACATCAAACATTGAAAATTTTGAAGGATTCCACCACTGTTTGCAATCTATCTTTCATCTTGTCCCACCTTCTCTCGTTGGCCCCCGTCGTCAAAGTGTAGAACCTACCTGCCAACATGAGTGCCAGCCACAGTGAGTGGAGAAGTTCATGTGCATTAAGAAGACTTAATTTGAAGTTTCACACAGCCCCGTCAGTGTGTGTTGATCATGTGCGAGTTCAACAAGTTTAAAGGCTAATGCCACTCTGAAGTGGCAAAACACTGCTCTTCTTATGAATCTTAAATAACAATACTTAAAGCAATTTAGATAATGCATTTGCGAAAATAATAGTATTCTCGTTGTGGCTGTGAGTTTCATACCATTGCCAACAGATACTGCACCAAGTGCATGGCGGGTGTAGTTAGGAGCCTGAGCTACGAACTCAAATGTGTAATAAGCTTTTCCATCAACATCATTCTGTGGCATATAACACCAGCAAAAATTATTTGGCGTCGCTAAGAAACAAAGGGGAAAAACTAGATGACTTATTACTTACAATATCATATGCTCTGGAAGCTGTTAGGTTGTGGATAAATTATACACACAACACAATATTAATTGAGATCATTACATAGTAACTACGAGGTTTACTAGGCCAAAATGCATGGGGTTATATCATTTGTAATGGAAGGATATATTGTCAAATTGTTAAAGCTGATAATGCACTATATATCATGCTACGATCAAAGAAGTTATAGGACATCAAACCTGTGAAGCTGTAACTATCTTTGTTTTCTGGTTAGGAGGGGCCAAAAACTTTTTGATTAAAATTTGTGCAACCTGTGATCATTGAACAATGAGTGATAGCACCCTTATCAGCCGCACACATTCACAGAAATTACAGGACTCAACAAAGCATAAAAAGCAAGATAGAGCCCTGTTTTATTCTGTATGACTGTATCAAAGATGGTACTACACAATAGAAGACAAACCTCTTGGGGGGAACCAAAATCTCGAATATCCTGTTTGGCGGTTGGAATCATATTTACACTGACACTTTCCAGTGGTTCAATGACATCTTTGAATACCTTGTCTTGACCTTCAACAACTACTTCCTGTTCATGCCCAAGAAACAGGAAAAAGGAATGAGAAACCGGTCATCATACCTTTTTATATGTAGAATGAACTTGGAAACTAAAAATTCATACCTGCCATCCGAATGGATAGAGAAATGAGTATCCATCCTTCTTATCTGTGACTGATAGAAATCCCTTTTTACTTTCTGCAGCAACTGAGGCATATCAAGGGTGTCCTCTTAAGATATCAACCATCATTATTCAAGGAACCAACGCACTGCATAATTAGCAGGTGGCGTTGATTTCAACACTACTAGAGAACAAAATCACAACAAGATAAGGGAAATCTAAGTAGTTCAATAAAGAAACAAATGGCGATGTTCTCTACATGTTGAAATATAGTAATGCTTACATGATGCCGGAGTTTGGTTAACAAGAGAAACCCAAGGAGCAATGACTCCAACAGCAATCATTTGGCGTCTCCCACATTTATCTGCAAAAGATTGAAAATAAAGAATAAAAATTGATGATTATTAAGCATCTGCAGCTGGTATAGTTAGAGACTTGATCAACTAATGAAAAACAAGCGAAAGAAGACATAAAAATACCTATCGATAGGTGATTAAGTTAATAGATAAATAGATATAAAGAGTTCACAAGAGGTCCATAGAGACATTGACATGGAAAAAAGTCTCATCAAGAGAAACAAAAATGCATAGATCATGTATGCATAAAATTTAAACCCTTGGACAAACAAATACTTTCTCCCCTCAATATTACCAATATATTATACACTTGTCGTTTTATATCTCCAGAAACTGAATTTTATATCTATAATTAAATTCCATGATACTGATACTTGTCCACCTCTAAAGTCCTTGTAATGAAGACATCATATGCAAACAAATCAAACCATTGAGCTAATCTTTCCAACATTCCTGATACCAAGGCTTAAATATGACTACAATTATCAATTGTTTTGTCCCTCCTATTGGCAGTAAATATTTGTTTGTAAACTTAGACTAAAGTTGAAAAACAGTGACAATGGGAAACAATCCTTCTTGATATTTTCGTCTGTACAAAGTAATTTGAATTTTTCCTGAACTGTGAGATAAAGCATCCTATCTAGTCCAATTACAAGCTAAATATACAGAAATATATCATTAATCAAAATCTTACCATTATAGTCCATATTATTAAAGTTGAATGGACTATTCATCAAAACCAAGAGTTGTATCATCTTATATATAAAGTAGCTTATGGACCCTTCGAACAATTCTACGTGGCAGCTCACACATCTCACATTTCTCATCTCAGAATTGTTTTAAGCATCCAGCTTATTTTATTTTTCTTTTTAAGTTTCTTCTGTTTTGAGAAATACTACAATTCATACTAGCAAAACTCTTGAGTAAACTAAATTAAAACTGGGGAAAAGGGAAAAAAGGAAAAAGCCTCTAACTAGCTTCAGTCTTACTGAAACCAAAAACAAACGAAGCATAAACTAATTGTTATGTACATAAACAATGTGCATTGCATTTATATAAAACTATGAAACGAAATGCAGATAATCCCACCTTGAGAAATGGAAGAGGAAGCCAAAGATGCATGTTCAGCCCGAACAAGAAACGAAAAGCCTCTTCGAAAGACAGGCAAAACCCCATGCTTTTGCAGTCCAAACTGAAACATATTACAATACATATACAACACAACCCATTTCACACAAATGTACCTACACATTAACATAAAATGAAAAAAAAAAACAACTCAAAACTATAGATGATAAGAACCTGAGGGTGAGGGAGGGAATTGAGAAACATGGTGCGATGATGAAAAGAGGACGAATGTTGCAGAGACGCCATTTTAGTTGCTGCTTAATGAAACTCGAAAAAAGAGTTTGGGTATTGGATGTTGATTTTGTTTTTGTGGTGGAGACCTGAAAATTGGTGCTTTGGTAGTGGAAGTCCTTGTATTATACAATGATTAGCACTCTTCAAGTAATGCTCCTTGGTGTGTTATGACGAGGGAACAAGGGCTATAAAATAAAACAATCAGGCCTCAACTCTGGAAAATGCACAATAGTGCTTGTAATTTCAGAGGTGAGTCTGATAAGCAAATTTAGAATAACCACATCAAACATTGAAAATTTTGAAGGATTCCACCACTGTTTGCAATCTATCTTTCATCTTGTCCCACCTTCTCTCGTTGGCCCCCGTCGTCAAAGTGTAGAACCTACCTGCCAACATGAATGCCAGCCACAATGAGTGGAGAAGTTCATGTTCGTTAAGAAGACTTAATTTGAAGTTTCACACAGCCCCGTCAGTGTGTGTTGATCATGTGCGAGTTCAACAAGTTTAAAGGCTAATGCCACTCTGAAGTGGCAAAACACTGCTCTTCTTATGAATCTTAAATAACAATACTTAAAGCAATTTAGATAATGCATTTGCGAAAATAATAGTATTCTCGTTGTGGCTGTGAGTTTCATACCATTGCCAACAGATACTGCACCAAGTGCATGGCGGGTGTAGTTAGGAGCCTGAGCTACGAACTCAAATGTGTAATAAGCTTTTCCATCAACATCATTCTGTGGCATATAACACCAGCAAAAATTATTTGGCGTCGCTAAGAAACAAAGGGGAAAAACTAGATGACTTATTACTTACAATATCATATGCTCTGGAAGCTGTTAGGTTGTGGATAAATTATACACACAACACAGTATTAATTGAGATCATTACATAGTAACTACGAGGTTTACTAGGCCAAAATGCATGGGGTTATATCATTTGTAATGGAAGGATATATTGTCAAATTGTTAAAGCTGATAATGCACTATATATCATGCTACGATCAAAGAAGTTATAGGACATCAAACCTCTGAAGCTGTAACTATCTTTGTTTTCTGGTTAGGAGGGGCCAAAAACTTTTTGATTAAAATTTGTGCAACCTGTGATCATTGAACAATGAGTGATAGCACCCTTATCAGCCCCACACATTCACGGAAATTACAGGACTCAACAAAGCATAAAAAGCAAGATAGAGCCCCGTTTTATTCTGTATGACTGTATCAAAGATGGTACTACACAATAGAAGACAAACCTCTTGGGGGGAACCAAAATCTCGAATATCCTGTTTGGCGGTTGGAATCATATTTACACTGACACTTTCCAGTGGTTCAATGACATCTTTGAATACCTTGTCTTGACCTTCAACAACTACTTCCTGTTCATGCCCAAGAAACAGGAAAAAGGAATGAGAAACCGGTCATCATACCTTTTTATATGTAGAATGAACTTGGAAACTAAAAATTCATACCTGCCATCCGAATGGATAGAGAAATGAGTATCCATCCTTCTTATCTGTGACTGATAGAAATCCCTTTTTACTTTCTGCAGCAACTGAGGCATATCAAGGGTGTCCTCTTAAGATATCAACCATCATTATTCAAGGAACCAACGCACTGCATAATTAGCAGGTGGCGTTGATTTCAACACTACTAGAGAACAAAATCACAACAAGATAAGGGAAATCTAAGTAGTTCAATAAAGAAACAAATGGCGATGTTCTCTACATGTTGAAATATAGTAATGCTTACATGATGCCGGAGTTTGGTTAACAAGAGAAACCCAAGGAGCAATGACTCCAACAGCAATCATTTGGCGTCTCCCACATTTATCTGCAAAAGATTGAAAATAAAGAATAAAAATTGATGATTATTAAGCATCTGCAGCTGGTATAGTTAGAGACTTGATCAACTAATGAAAAACAAGCGAAAGAAGACATAAAAATACCTATCGATAGGTGATTAAGTTAATAGATAAATAGATATAAAGAGTTCACAAGAGGTCCATAGAGACATTGACATGGAAAAAAGTCTCATCAAGAGAAACAAAAATGCATAGATCATGTATGCATAAAATTTAAACCCTTGGACAAACAAATACTTTCTCCCCTCAATATTACCAATATATTATACACTTGTCGTTTTATATCTCCAGAAACTGAATTTTATATCTATAATTAAATTCCATGATACTGATACTTGTCCACCTCTAAAGTCCTTGTAATGAAGACATCATATGCAAACAAATCAAACCATTGAGCTAATCTTTCCAACATTCCTGATACCAAGGCTTAAATATGACTACAATTATCAATTGTTTTGTCCCTCCTATTGGCAGTAAATATTTGTTTGTAAACTTAGACTAAAGTTGAAAAACAGTGACAATGGGAAACAATCCTTCTTGATATTTTCGTCTGTACAAAGTAATTTGAATTTTTCCTGAACTGTGAGATAAAGCATCCTATCTAGTCCAATTACAAGCTAAATATACAGAAATATATCATTAATCAAAATCTTACCATTATAGTCCATATTATTAAAGTTGAATGGACTATTCATCAAAACCAAGAGTTGTATCATCTTATATATAAAGTAGCTTATGGACCCTTCGAACAATTCTACGTGGCAGCTCACACATCTCACATTTCTCATCTCAGAATTGTTTTAAGCATCCAGCTTATTTTATTTTTCTTTTTAAGTTTCTTCTGTTTTGAGAAATACTACAATTCATACTAGCAAAACTCTTGAGTAAACTAAATTAAAACTGGGGAAAAGGGAAAAAAGGAAAAAGCCTCTAACTAGCTTCAGTCTTACTGAAACCAAAAACAAACGAAGCATAAACTAATTGTTATGTACATAAACAATGTGCATTGCATTTATATAAAACTATGAAACGAAATGCAGATAATCCCACCTTGAGAAATGGAAGAGGAAGCCAAAGATGCATGTTCAGCCCGAACAAGAAACGAAAAGCCTCTTCGAAAGACAGGCAAAACCCCATGCTTTTGCAGTCCAAACTGAAACATATTACAATACATATACAACACAACCCATTTCACACAAATGTACCTACACATTAACATAACATGAAAAAAAAAAACAACTCAAAACTATAGATGATAAGAACCTCAGGGTGAGGGAGGGAATTGAGAAACATGGTGCGATGATGAATAGAGGACGAATGTTGCAGGGAAGCCATTTTAGTTGCTGCTTAATGAAACTCGAAACAAGAGTTTGGGTATTGGATGTTGATTTTGTTTTTGTGGTGGAGACCTTATCTTTTTCTTTGTATCTTCTTGGCTCTGCTTATCCGTTACCAATTACGCGCCTTTTCACTTCACTTCTACTTCGTTAGTTGGAACCGGACCCACTGAAAGAAACACGGAACCTACTCCAATTCTAAATATATTATTTAAAAAAAAAAAGTCAAGTTTTTACATAATTCTAATACGACATGAGGTCGTTGGGAATTTGGGATATATATATATCCACCATTAACAAACAGATAATATCAATATAATTATTAATAAAAACAAAAACATTTGATAATGCTTTTTTTGTTTTTTTAAGTAATCGTAGTGTCTGAATCAGTTTGTGTATTTTAATTAGTCCATAAAATTTATTAAACACCTTACAAACATAAAGGACCAAATAAGTTATAATGTAATAAGTAATCTTTGAATCCAGAAACTCAATAAAAGAAGTAAACTTTTTTTATTACTGATCAATCTTATTTGATAATGTTTTGATATATATAAAAAGAGTAGTTTTTATTAGAAAGGAATGACTGCTCCGACCACGTGTCTCTACTTTTGGTCCATCGTCTCATCTCATCTGCACGGTTTTAATTCATTTATGCCTTTTTTTTCTTTTTTTTTTAATTTCATTCATTATTTTGCCTTTTTCCGGGTTCTTTACCTGGGCCAGGGCCCGGGCGGGCCCATGCTTGAATTCTATGCATTTCCTCTACTTAATTAATTGGACCATTTAATAAAAATGAAAATCTAACTATTATAACAAAATGTCAATGGGGGTTGAATAATGTTGGTCAATTTTATTAATGTCACATGAAGTAAATGTGATGAGAATTTATATTTGGTGAACAACTTGATTTTGATGTAATGTAAAATTACCAAACCCCCCCTAATTATGGTGCCTTTATTCACACAAATTACTCATTACTTGAATTAGAATTAAATGACCAACGTATTCATTCTCATTTGTTCTTTTCAATAACTTAATATTCATTTGTTATGTCTACCTTTCAATCACTATCACCTCTTCCTCCAAATTTAACCACCACCAACAACACTTTTTACAATTCCTTTTTTCTAAAACATAAAACCACTTTTACATACTTACAAAAAATTAATTACATTTAGCCCTGGGGATTAAGTCTATTAGGATCTAAGTTTACAGTTTGAAGTACTTTTATATATCCCCTTATTATATCTATGGTTATAAACGAGCTGAGCCAAGCCGAGCTTTGGGCTAATCGAGTTCGATTCGATTGCTACATTGTTGAGTTTGAGTTTGAGCTTGAAAAATCGAGCATGAACTGAAGCTTTTATTGAGCCAAGCTCGGCTCGGCTGACACCCCTAATTATAACAAGTATTAAAAAGAAATAGATATTCAAAAGATAGAATCTGAGTTTTCGTTTGTTAGATTTAAGAGGGTAAATTCTATTATTTTAGGACATATGACCTAAAAGTGATTAACTAAAAACGGAGGGTGGATAAAGTCTTTCTCTTACATACACAAGATTTCTGTTTTCTTGAAGACTATAGGGTTGGATGTCGGCTTCATAAGATGTCAAAGGATTCCTAGATTATAAAAAAATTATTTATTAAATTATATTTTATTTATGCATATATATTACTAAAATTTCACTAATTTTAGCATTTATTTTATTATTTTGATTGTCTGGCTTTACAATTCCCAAACACAAGCTGTCCCCATCAATAATTAAACAGAAAAAGGCAAAAAAGAGAATCACCAAACACGGCCTCAAAATGAAAAGAAGCAAAGAGGGAACAGATCAAATGGACTGGCATCACCCAATAAAGCTCACTCACACGCTCAATGATGTCTGCCCCCGCCCCTCTCTCCCCCTCTCTAAATATCTTTTATTTTATTCACTAGAGTCATACTAACCTCACCCACCACACTACCAATTCTTCCACGTGTCAGCTCAACCTAACACTTCCCAACCCTCTTTTCGTCAATTCTTCAAAGCGTTTTTATGGAAAAGCACTTTTAGTATTTTCTGTAAATTAAATATTTTGAGATCTTTTAATTCAAAATCATGTGTTTCATTACACCTCGGATCCTCTATTTTGTTCTAAATTTCTAAACGAAAGTATTTTTTAAATAAAAGTGTTTTTTCCACAAGCACTTTCATTTAAGAGAAACTCTCAAATACCCCATTACGATTGTTTTTTGTTTGGGTTACATACAGCCTTCAAGTATGATTCAATAATAAAAATCTCTCTACAGTTAATAAATTGTTAATGTGATTTAAAATTTACTCAGTTATAAGTAAATAAATTTTATTAAATTGCCCTCTTATTGTATATTTTAACGCTTAAAGTTTAACGGTAGGGGAATTTTTGTTATTTCTAAAACCTTAAAAGGAATTTGGTTATTGTAGCAAACCTCAGGGGAATTTTGGTGACGAAGTTCATCGCCGGCATTTGACCGTTAACCTAACAAAAACCTACACAAACGAAACCAAAAAAAGCACGTTAACGTTAACAACAACAAAAACAGGGCTCAGAAAAATAAAAACACAGAAAACACTTTCAGTTTTTATTTTTTCCATTTTCATTTTATGTCACTTAGGGTGACTACATCTTTCCCTCTCCTTTCTCATCGCCTTCATCTTTGACTCAGTCCCCCGTCAACCTCATTTTTGTTCTGTTTTTTTCTTATTCGTTTTTTAGTTTCAGGAAACACAACACACTGAGCAAAAACAGAACATAAACACACACAATTAACTATCTTATTTTGTTGCCAGATACTGTAACTTTCCCCTAAATTTAGCAGATCCGCTAAATTTAGAGGGATACAAAGCCAGTTTTCAGCTAGGGTTTCGATACTTTTAATTTTCACGACAAGATGATGATATCGAGGGGGCTGTTTGGGTGGTCCCCACCGCATATACAGCCCCTTACGCCGGTGTCGGAGGTGTCTGAGCCTCCGGAGTCGCCGTCTCCATACCTGGACCCCGGTGCGGAGGCGGCGGCCGCGGCGGCTGCTGCTGCTCAGGCGGAGGAAGCGGAGGAGATGGAGGACGCAGAAGAGATGGAGCCGCCGCCGGCAGCCGTGCCATTCTCGAAGTTGTTCGCGTGCGCAGACCGGCTCGACTGGGGGCTCATGATCGTTGGCTCTCTTGCAGCAGCGGCTCACGGAACGGCTCTTGTTGTGTACTTGCATTACTTCGCTAAAGTTATTGAGGTGTTGAGGATCGCAAATACTCAGGATCAGTACCACAGGTTTAGAGAGGTGAGGGATTTTGTTGAGTAAGTTTGAGCAAGTTAGTTTTGTTGTGTTCAGGTGAATTTTCAGATTTTTGATATAAAAGTAAATTTCTTAATTAAGAGATTAAGCTACTATAGTTGATCAGCATTTGTCTTCTGTTTGGCTGGGGAGATTTGTAGTAAAATGAAAGGAGTTAAAATTTTGAGTTTTATGGATTTGTTGATATAATTTATTTACATTTTTATTAGTTTGGGGTAGCCATTACTCCATTGATTTCTTGTTTGATAAATGAAGATCATATCTCGCAGTTTGTAATGGGTTTTACCATGAGAGAACTTGCATACTTTGCGCTTCTTTTTGTTATATAACATTTCGGTACTGTTTCATCAATTTTAACATTCTTTGTTCGGAAGGACAGTTAAGTATTGTATTAAAATTTGTATACTTCGATTGGAAGATGTTGGCGAATTTTTGCCTAGAAAGATCTTATGGTTCAGAATTTAGTGTTTTGATAGAACCGTGAGTAGTATGGCACTGAAAGCGGCTTTGTGATGCCTTTTTCTTTTATACGTTCTGGGTTTGTTGCTACGTGTTCTTGTTTTTTTCATGTTGAAAATTGGAGGGAAGCCTATGAGAATGGCTTTAGTTGTTCTTCACCATGCTAAGAAAAAGTTTATTCAGAAGCTGTAGAAATAATCTTACTAGAGTTTTTCCGTTGGAGGTCTTTAAATTTTTTATTCAGCCACATGATAAGGAAATATATTGATTAATACTTGTAATATCTATTTTGCGAGTGCTTGCTGTAAAGAGACCCCGAATATATAACGAGCTGCTGTGCGATATTTTATACATGATTAATTAAATTTAAAAATGGAAAACCATTTGTCTGTATTTACTTTTTTCACTGCAATAAGACAAAACATGAGATCAATCTGACATACTAGGAGGAAAATCTCTAATTTTGTTGGTGAGGTTTTTAAAGTACTATTACTATGGTTGGGAGAATATGTAACCCATGAAGGCAACTCTCGATCAACATTGAGCATTAAGGATATTTTTTTCTTCTATATTCAACGAGTTTTTTTCTGAGCTGGAAGTTTCAGATGTAAATGAGCACTCATTTAACTGTGACTTTTTTTCTTGCAGCTTGCTTTGACCATTGTTTATATAGCTGTGGGTGTCTTTGTTGCTGGTTGGATTGGTAAATATTAACTTTAACTCTTAATCAACCACCATCATATATCTTTTTTTCCTATAGATGATGCTTCTTTGCAGCCTTTGATACTAACTTTTTCTTTGCAATAGAGGTTTCATGCTGGATTTTAACTGGAGAACGGCAGACTGCTGTCATCAGGTCAAAATATGTTCAAGTATTACTTAACCAGGACATGAGTTTTTTTGATACTTATGGTAATAATGGGGATATTGTGAGCCAAGTGTTGAGTGATGTGCTGCTCATTCAGTCTGCTCTTAGTGAAAAAGTATGTTCAATCTAAAGCTTTGCCTTTCATGTCGTTGTTTTGCCGGGTATAATATTTAATTGATACTCTGGTGGGACTTCCCTTGGCCTTCAATGATGCAGGTTGGAAATTATATTCATAACATGGCAACATTTTTCAGTGGTCTCGTTATTGGATTTGTCAACTGTTGGCAGATTGCTCTTATAACATTAGGCACTGGTCCATTTATTGTTGCTGCGGGAGGGATATCAAATATATTTCTTCATAGGCTTGCTGAGAATATTCAAGATGCATATGCTGAAGCAGCTAGCATTGCTGAACAGGTTTCACTTGTTCCTTTTCACTCTCGTCTACCATTTATAGTGTTGATATTTGGGCTTGAATTTCTCTTGAATTAAAAACTTTGGGTGTGTTTGTTTTATTATTTTGGGTAGGATTTTTTAAAAAGTTGAGTTGGGTGGTTATTACGAGGTAGGATTTGAACATTAACAAAAACACCTCCTTAGGTTTGTTAATTTATTAAACACCCCTACAATAAAACATTGAAAATTAACAAAAACATCCCCATCCACGCGTTAAATGCTGGCAGCCGGCCACCACCGCCGGGGGGTGGGTGGGGTGTTTTGGTCAATTTCTAAACATTTTTTGTTGGAGGTATTTAGTTAAATTAACAAACCTAGGGGGTTTAAAATAGTTGAATATAATAGAATTGGATTTTCAGAATAGGGAAACAAATATGTATTTTGGGTAGGATTTCAAAAATCCTCCCAAAATAGAGAAACAAACACACCCGTTGTTATTTGTTGGTTCTTTTAGAGTTATAGAGTCTGAACTTCATAGTTTATGGTGCTCTATAGTTACTTCATTATGAATTTATCAACGGTGTTCCACCTTCGTTCTTTTAAGATCTTCTGTGTCTTTGTTGTTTATCAATAATTATATGTAGGCTTTTCAAAATCTTAACTGATGCATGATTTAGCTTGCGTTTCTAATTGGTCCAAAAAAAAAATTAAAATAAAATAAAATAAAAGGAGAAAGAGAGCAACAAAGAAAGAAAAGGATGTATCTTGCGTTTTGTTTTAATCTTGCAATTCTATGATTGATAGAAGATTTTTACTTCATTTTCATCAAATCAAATTGACTGACTTGGGGAGTTGTTACTGTTGAAAAAACTTGAATTGAAGATTAATAATGTCTCTCTTGTCAACTTAACAATCTTTCTAAAGAGTTTGGTAAATGTATTTGTTGTTTGGAAGTGTAGTAACATAAAATTGGTTAATGTAACTAGTTTTTTCCTTATAGATTTGGAGATTTAGATGCCCCTGCATGTAGAGGCCCTGTTATGGAATTGCAAAGAAAGAAATTAAGTAATAATGCCTATATTAGCTTGCCATCAATTGTTGCTCATAAGAAGAAAATGACAATAAATTACCTACCAATGTACAATCACTTAATACCTGGTAGTAGCTGGCTTTCAGAATGCCTTGTTAAAAATTGTTTCAATCAAGCATGGTTGTAGCCGTTATGGTGGAAGGTTTATTGACAAAGGTTCTAATATGAAAATAATTTGTTAAATTATGCAGGCAGTCTCTTACATTAGGACCTTATATGCCTTTACGAATGAAACTTTGGCCAAGTATTCTTATGCAACCTCATTACAAGCTACTTTGAGATATGGTATACTGATTAGTCTGGTGCAAGGACTTGGACTTGGATTTACATATGGTCTTGCTATATGTTCTTGTGCCTTACAACTTTGGGTTGGAAGATTCCTAGTTACACATAACAAAGCTCATGGTGGTGAAATTATAACAGCTTTATTTGCTGTAATTTTAAGTGGCCTGTAAGCATCTTATTCTCACTTTTTCTTGTTGCCTTTTGTTTCTAATGTTCTTAATCATTTGCTCGGTCTTTTATAGTGGGCTGAATCAAGCAGCAACAAACTTCTATTCATTTGACCAAGGGCGGATTGCTGCTTATAGACTTTTTGAGATGATAAGCAGATCATCCTCAACTGCTAATCAGGATGGAAACAGCCTACCATCAGTGCATGGAAATATAGAGTTTAGGAATGTATATTTCAGCTACCTATCTCGTCCTGAGATTCCTATCTTGAGTGGATTTTACCTCACTGTACCTGCTAAAAAAGCAGTAGCACTTGTTGGCAGAAATGGATCTGGGAAAAGCAGTATTATCCCACTCATGGAGCGGTTTTATGATCCTACATTAGGTAATATGGCCATAGTACTGTTTTCATTAAGTGGTTGCCTCACTATTTCACTTAAAGTTGTTCTTAGTGGTTATGTCTGCTTGTAGTTTCTAATGGTTTTTTAATTTCGTGGTGCAGGAGAGGTTCTTTTGGATGGGGAAAATATAAAGAACTTAAAACTGGAATGGCTGAGAAGCCAAATAGGACTTGTCACCCAGGAACCTGCTTTGCTGAGTTTGAGTATCAGAGATAATATTGCTTATGGGCGAGAGGCTACTTCGGATCAGATAGAAGAGGCGGCTAAAATAGCACATGCACATACATTTATCAGCTCACTTGAGAGGGGATATGAGACACAGGTAAAATTTTAATAGTTGTATCATGATAAATTCTTTCTTCATTGGTATCTTCTTCTGGGAAATTAATTTAGGTGCATTTCAGGTGGGTAGGGCTGGTTTAGCCTTGACAGAAGAGCAAAAGATAAAGCTTTCTATAGCTAGAGCAGTGCTTTTAAACCCATCAATTCTTTTGCTTGATGAGGTCACTGGTGGGCTTGATTTTGAAGCCGAAAGAGCTGTTCAGGAGGCTCTGGATCTGCTTATGTTGGGACGTTCAACCATAATAATTGCTCGACGGCTTAGTCTTATAAGGAATGCTGATTACATAGCTGTGATGGAAGAGGGTCAACTTGTTGAAATGGGTACACATGATGAACTATTAACCCTGGATGGCCTGTACGCAGAGCTTCTCAAATGTGAAGAAGCTGCAAAACTTCCTAGGAGGTATGCATGCTATGATGGGAAATATCATAGTGAAAGTGTATTGTTGATTCTGGAATACTTGTTTCGTTATTTACCTGTATCCTGCTTCAAATTAAATATGTAGAACATTTCTGCTATCTAACATATTTATGGAATGTGAATTTCTGTCCAGGATGCCGGTTAGAAACTACAAGGAGACTGCGGCTTTCCAAATTGAAAAGGATTCTTCTGCAAGTCACAGCTTCCAAGAACCATCATCCCCTAAAATGCAGAAATCACCTTCTCTTCAGAGAGTTGGCATGTTTAGGCCCACAGATGGTGCCTTTGATTCACTAGAATCCCCTACAGTGCATAGCCCGCCAGCAGAGAAAATGATGGAAAATGGTCTGCCATTGGATGCGTCTGATAAGGAACCATCAATCCGAAGGCAGGATAGTTTTGAAATGAGACTACCAGAATTACCTAAGATTGATGTACAGTCTGCAAACCGACAAATATCAAACGGTTCAGACCCGGAATCCCCTATATCACCTCTTTTGACATCTGATCCTAAAAATGAACGTTCCCATTCACAGACATTTAGTCGACCCCATAGTCACTCTGATGACATTCCAATGAAGATTAGAGAATCAAAAGATACACAACATCGGAAAGCACCATCGTTTTGGAGACTGGCACAGCTTAGTTTTGCTGAGTGGCTCTACGCTGTTTTAGGAAGCATTGGTGCTGCCATTTTTGGTTCTTTCAATCCTCTTCTTGCTTACGTTATTGCATTGATAGTGACAACATACTATAGACATGATGATCATCATCACCTACGACAGGAAGTAGACAAATGGTGCTTGATAATTGCCTGCATGGGTATAGTGACAGTTGTTGCCAACTTTTTGCAGCACTTTTACTTTGGTATTATGGGGGAAAAAATGACTGAACGAGTTAGGAGAATGATGTTCTCAGGTATAAAAGCCTTTGGATATCTTCATAATTTTCTTGTGTCCACAGAATTCTTTGTATGCAAACTCTATGTTATTAATGCTTTTAAATTATATGACAGCAATGCTGAGGAATGAAGTTGGATGGTTTGATGAAGAGGATAATAGTGCTGACACATTGTCCATGCGCTTGGCAAATGATGCTACATTTGTCCGAGCTGCTTTTAGCAACCGCCTTTCCATATTTATACAGGATAGTGCTGCCGTTATTGTGGCTGTACTTATTGGGATGTTGCTACAGTGGCGATTGGCACTTGTAGCATTAGCAACCTTGCCAATACTCACTGTGTCTGCCATTGCCCAGGTTTGCATTGTCATTTCCTGCTTTATATGATACTGTGTATAATTCTACCAAGATTTGGTTTCTTCAAAGGCCCTCTTCAATTTATCAAACAATGCTTTTTCTCATGAACTTGTTATTGTCTTTCATACATCCTCGTAGAAATGATTTTAGGGTGTATTTCTTCAACTTCAAGTCAGAGGACACAGTCTCAGCAAAATCAATTTCTTTATGGCTTCCTTCTAGTCATAAGCAGTGGGGCTCTTTTGCATGCATCTGTTTACTTCAGCTTTTGTTTCTTTCAAAATTTTGTTTTCTAATTAAACCTTTACTTATCCCAAAAGAAAAGAAATAAAATAAAAAAAGAAAGAAATCAAAAGAATGTTTTACTCCAACAGTGGTCTGTTTTTTCAGTTTTACTGATAGATGATGGATTATGATATCTGATACAGCTTCCCCAAAATCTGAGTGGTTACCAACTTTAATATTGCAGAAATTGTGGCTTGCTGGATTTTCAAGGGGCATCCAGGAGATGCATAGGAAGGCATCTCTAGTCCTTGAGGATGCAGTTAGAAATATTTACACTGTAGTAGCATTTTGTGCTGGTAACAAGGTAATGGAGCTCTATAGATTGCAGCTGAAGACAATATTCAAACAGAGTTTCTTTCATGGAATGGCCATTGGGTTTGCATTTGGCTTTTCACAGTTTCTTCTTTTTGCCTGTAATGCTCTTCTCCTTTGGTATACTGCTATTTCTGTTAGAGATGGCTATATGGATTTGCCTACAGCTCTCAAGGAGTACATGGTTTTCTCTTTCGCGACGTTTGCACTTGTGGAACCATTTGGATTGGCTCCATATATACTTAAGCGGCGTAAATCTCTCATTTCAGTTTTTGAAATCATAGATCGAGTGCCTAAGATTGATCCAGATGATAACTCAGCATTGAAGCCCCCTAATGTTTATGGAAGCATTGAGTTGAAAAATGTTGATTTCTGTTATCCAAGTCACCCAGAAGTGTTGGTATTGAGCAATTTCAGTCTCAAAGTCAATGGGGGACAAACCATAGCCGTGGTTGGAGTTTCAGGGTCTGGAAAAAGCACTATAATATCTTTGATTGAGAGATTTTATGATCCAGTTGCTGGTCAGGTTCTACTAGATGGGCGAGATCTTAAACTTTATAACTTGAGATGGTTGAGAAACCATTTAGGTCTTGTTCAGCAGGAGCCCATTATCTTCTCAACGACAATCAGGGAGAATATTATATATGCAAGGCATAATGCTAGTGAAGCTGAGATGAAAGAGGCTGCAAGAATAGCTAATGCTCACCATTTCATCAGCAGCTTGCCTCATGGTTATGACACACATGTAGGGATGAGGGGTGTGGACTTGACCCCTGGACAAAAACAGAGAATTGCTATCGCCCGAGTGGTGCTGAAGAATGCACCCATCTTGTTACTGGATGAAGCTAGTTCATCCATTGAGTCTGAGTCAAGTCGAGTAGTGCAGGAGGCTCTTGATACACTGATAATGGGAAACAAAACAACCATACTGATAGCTCATAGAGCTGCAATGATGAGGCATGTTGACAACATAGTAGTTCTTAATGGAGGGCGAATCGTGGAGGAAGGGACCCATGATACTTTGGTAGCGAAAAATGGTTTGTATGTCCGTTTGATGCAACCTCACTTTGGGAAGGGTTTACGGCAACATCGATTGATATAGGTGTATCTGTGATTGATTGCAACTTAAAGTGGTTGATCTGTATAGTTCTCATTCTGCTCATTTTGAAATGCTGCAAATGTCAACACCAGCTAGATTATCTCGAATATCTGCTGCTGGTTGGAGATTCCACGATGAGCTAGGGCAATATAGAAGGATGAAGGACGAGGCCTGTAACAATATAGCGGGATTGGCGGAAAATGGTGGCAGGGCTAGTTAAATTGTTTAAATATAGGGCTTAGAAGTAGGAAGTTTGCAATTTGGTTGGGGTTAGATGCATATTCTTTATGGAGGCAAGCATTGTTAGGTTGGAGTTGAGAGCTGCCTCCATGGTATATTAATTTGTTTATTAATCAGAAGATGGAAGTTAATTCTAGTCCTACTGAGGTGTGTTTCTTGGGCTTTTGTATTAGTTTTTCATGTTTCTATCCCAGTATTTTTAAGAGCAAAATTTTGTAACTCTGTTGAACGTGTGTTTCTGTAAAAAAATTTACATTTGTGAAATCTGATGCAAGTTTAGAAGAGGAAAGAACTCGAGGATTGTTGTAATCTTTGTAAATAAATATTGTGATAGATTTCAATTTCAGCATCATTGTAGCCTATCAGTTACTTTCTCTTAAGCTTTTGTGTTTGAGATTATTTAAAGAGGATGGAAACTAGTTCCTTTTTTTTTTTTTTTTTTTTTTTTTTTAAGGTATTTGAGGTATTTAAGTTTACATTGGAGTCTGTCTAATCTTTAAGGTCACAAAATACCCTACAAGTCCAGTGGACTAAGATAATTGTACAAATGTGGTAAGTGCCTCTCTTACAACTCAAATGCAAGACTCTCCGGATATAGATAACCCTAGTGACTAAAGGGTTTGTCATCCGACTACAATGGGAGAGGTGGAAACTTAGTAGTATTGCAACAATGTCTTCTGATATGTACAACAAATGATAAAAATGTAGTTGTTCAACAGTAGAAGCAAAATCCAAGTCTCTTTGGAGACAGCCCAGAGCACTATGATATAATATCTCAAATATCAAGCACCCTGAAAGAGTCTGCCACCACTTTTAGCTTATTCCGGAGCCTTTTCCACCGTCTATCATTTGCTCCGACAACCAGTGTATAATATCTCCCTGTACCAAAGAACAAATTTTGTATCAAATTGTTTCAAACGGGAGTTCTCAGTTCTTCAACCCGAGAGCATGAAGGCAGACAAAATTTTTGATAAAGGAAGATAGTTATTGGCAACTCAAAAATAGGATGCTTACCATTTGCAATGGCTATGGTTGCGAAGGAAGAGCTCGAGTAATTCGGAGATGTAAGTTTGTATTCAAAGGCGTAGTAGTTTTTCCCATCTACATTCCTCTGCATTCAGTAGGTAGAATGGTAAAAATTTGCAAATGCTTTTGGTTGGTTTTCTGTCCTGGGAATTTTAGAGCCCAAAAATACAACACATTATATTTACAAACCTCTTGCATATCCATTATATCAACAATTTGATTTGGTGTGGCATACACATGCTTTACCAAATTAGAAACAACCTGCATAATAAAGAAATGGGTAAAACAAAGGATCAGTCTTAATTATAAAATTTAGATTAAACCCGGTAAAAACTTATCATTCATTACCTCATTCACAGGACCCAAATCATGGATATCCTTTTTGTCAGTTGGTATAAATCTCACTCTAACAGTCTGCAACTGCAAGTATCTGTCTTTGAATGCAGAATCATGTCCTATGAACTCAAAATCCTAAACAAGATCCACCAATTGTTATTTTGAGTTTTAAGCTACAAAAAAATTCCTTTCTTCAAATTCATGACATTATTTGCACCACTTACTATCCAATCCGAGGGGTAAACATATGAATATCCGTCTCTGGGATCGACAAACGCCCGATAATTTTTCGGTATCTCTACACAATGACCACAGTCAGGGAGATTAATTTTAGATTAAGTTGCAAATCTAGATATTAATTCCATTGAGATTATATCAGATTATCAGTTTGATACCTTCAGCTAAAAGGGGACTGGTAGGGAGAAGCCTTGCAGTTAGAATTCCAGCTCCTAACAGTAGCAGCCGTCTTTTGCAATTGTCTAAATTCAATAAATCAGGTTAAATATAGTACTTGTGCATCAAACATTTACTTCAATATCTAAGGAAAACTCTACAAATCATACTCAAAATCACAATAAAATTGATCTGGGTATTTCTAAAACTTGTTTTTTCATCACTAAACAGTAAGTTTGAGATGATGGGTATCTTACTTTCTTCATTGGAAGTGGTCTCCCTTGGGCATATGATAGAGTTTTGACAAGAAAATGCATTGGGATGAGGCACATTCAACTGAAACATAAGCAGAGACATCAATTTTAAGTGCGTGAGTAGAGTGAAATAAACATGAAATTGAAAGACAGACCTTGTTTGATAAGGGAGTTGAAACCCAGTTCAAAGAGAGAGATGAAAGTGCCATGTTACAGTAAAGAGAAGCAAATCAAGCTGCTTCTCATAATAAGATGGATAGTGGATAGTGCAGTTGGGCTTTGTGGTTCAGGAGCTGCCCTTTCTTTTTGTATTTTTAGTTCAATACTTCAATGGATAATTGGTACTTTAGCCAAAATATATGCACTTAAAACTACCCAAATCAGCATAATATGTTTTCTGCTTTATAAATTATTGGTTTTATATAATATTCATGAACTCAATTCATTTTTGATAAAGTTAAAACCTTTTTTGTTCTCAATTCTCAATCAATAGTGTTTTTTATATATGCTTTTGCCCATTTTTTGAAACTTTATACATACAATCAAGTAATTGCATGCAATCTAATAATATATATATATATATATATGGGATGAGATCTTTTAACTTAAATTTTTTACACAAATTTTTAGTCGTGAATTCAATACAATCCAATAGTGTATAATTGCTGAGGTGATAAACAGAATCATTACTTAAAAACTCTTTTTCACATCCAATGAATTGAAAAAATAACCGCAACTGAAAATTTGTACCTCAATTTTTTAGTTCAAAGATCCTATTAATTATATATTTGTTGTGTATTTAGTCAGGTTTTAAAGGATAAATTTGACGTAATAATTACTTTATGTAGAGAAATTTGTAATGGTTTAAAATCACTATCAATTTTCTAGTTAAATTTTAATTTCTTTGAAATATATTGTATTTTTTTTTAACTAAATATAACCATATTTTAATCATTCATCTTAAATCCAAACTAGACAAATAGTAATAACAAAAATTCAATTCTGTTATATATAGAAAAAAAATTGCATAATATCAATTCATTCATTGAGCATTTAATTGATGGTAATCTAGTTAAGTTGCAAATGATTGAATAACAGTTTTAACTCTCTTGAATTGTTTCCACTCTCCAAACTAAACTTAAAAACTAGAAATAAAAAAAAAAAAAAAAAAAAAAATCAACCAGAAGAATCCATTTTAGACAACAGAGGCAAAGTCTCTTCAGTCCCTAGTCAGTTTCACCAAACTCTTTTTGCAGCAATCTCCATTAATGCAGAATCTGAAGGGCACACAATATATAACTCCTCTATTCCTTGAGAGAAACCGAGTAATATTCTTCTGAAATTTAACGTGTATCCACCAATATCATCTTATCCACCAAGTCCAGTAACTCAGGTTTAATAAAAGCGGCTGCCTCTTCATATTCTTTCCCCAGAACAGAACCAAGCCTGAGCTCCTCCATATCTAAATCTTCTACATCACATGTCAATATAATCAATGCCTGTCTGAAATCAAAAGCATTTCCAGGGTTTATAAGAACACTGACCAAAGTATCCATAACCGAAGAGTCAACCTTGTCAATTTTGTCCAAGACTACAACACTGTATGGTTTTTTAGTCTTCAGAGTGTCAAGCAATTTATCAACAAGACATGAAACTGAATAAGGCTCAGTATATTCTTCCATGCCAATCCGGATAAAGAAACTATCTTCATCATCAAAAAGCTCCTTGGCAATTGCTTCGGCGAGCTCAGACTTACCAGCACCATTACAACCCACCAAGAGAAACAACCCCAATGGCCTCCCCAAACAATTACCATCAATCTTAGGCACCAATGGAGAATTCATAATTGAATCTTTGAGTTTCTTGTATCTTTGTTCAGGCTTATTTATAACAAACCAAGAAGCCGGTATCCCAGTAAGTTCACTGGCTATCTCTGCAATTTCAGTAACACCAATATGAATATTCAAAATCTGAGAATCATCTTGTGTCCTCTCAGTCTCAGCATCGTGTAAACCAGAAACTAAACAACCATTGTTATTCAAATCTTTCCGTTTACAAGATTCTTCAAGAATGTAAAAGAATGTCGCAATTTCTCCACTCAAGACTGAATTTTTGGGATGAATTGCAATACGTGCCGCCAAGAAAATAGCTTCAGATTCGAATGTAATTCCATAGAGTGTCTCCAGCAGCCATATTTCAACCTGAATAAGATCCATCGTGAGAAAACTTGATCAAAGAAAGTTTAAACTTTTTAATTGTATAAATGAATTTTTCTATGTTTAATGCATTTATATAGAAGGATGATTTCCCTAAGATTTTAATTCCTTATCGTTGAAAGAAAGATTTCTAATAAGAGATAAACTCCTACTAAATTTCATAATAGGAAACCGAAAATAATTAAAAGTCCTATATCTTTGTTTCCACGTAAACAAACGGGCCTCAAATTATGGGCTTCTACCAATCCAATTTTGCTGGAGCAAAGGCCCAAATTGGCCAGCCCAACCCTGAGCTGGTGTCTCAAATGGGGGTGCGTTGAACGTAGAAGATTTATTATTAATAGAACGCCAAAACTAAATTATGTATATAATAAGAGTAGTCATCGATGGTAGTGTATCGAATCTATATATCAAATAATGTGGTAAAATTCTGACCGTTGATTGATATTAAATTAAAATTAATCAACGGTTAAGATTTTGTTATGTCATTCGATGCATAAATTCGGTGTATTATCATCGGTGACTGTATTATTTTTCATATAATAAAGTGATGGCAACACAAAAATCTTTGGTAATATTATATACACCAAATAGTCGGTCCAATAATGAGAATTGATGTAGCCCTTTTGTCTGTTTACATACAAGAAATTATTTTGAATCACATCTTTATCCTATAATAATAGGAACTATATAATATCATAGCATCCTTCATTTATTCTAGACTGTGACACCACAGGAACTTTAGGCTTAGGTATCATAATGTCTTCATCACTTGTCAATGATATGTCGACAAATTATAATTCTTAAATTCAAACATTATGTATTTTATACACAAACTTAACATTCTTGCCGATAAATACAATAGTTAACTTTATTAACGACTGTTTACTTTGAATTATATAAGAAATATTATACTTATAAACCAATCTTATAAATTTTTTCTCATAATCTGAATATTATTATATATCTCGTCTGTCAATTTACGAATGATCAATTACAAACTATCACATCAAGATTGTAAAAAAAATTTATAAAATTATATTATAAATCAACATTTATTTTTTATAAAATCAAGTGTTCGTAAAATATTAATTAGCCCATAAAGCAACAAACAACAAAAACACAACACAAAATACCACGACACAAAGTTTTTCGGGGCCCGTGATTAAAAGGTAACTAATTTTTGTAACTTTTTCCCATCTTTTCGCTAAGAACTTCTCCACCCACTATTATTTAAAACATATTATTACATAGTTGTTTGTCGATTTAATTACCTATCATTTAGGTAATATACAAGATAAATCATAATAAACATTAATACTCTTCAAAACTAATCCTCAAAATAATTATAGTAATTCTTTTTTTTTAAAAGGGTTCAATTTTTTTAGAGTTTTCTTTTAATTTTTTTTAATAAATTAATAAAAATATGCTTATACAATAAAACCTGATTCTATATAGGAATAAACTATTAATCATAAAAAATTATATTCATAATTTGAGATAGTTATAAATAAGAATAAACCCACATTGTAATAGTTATATTTTTCTAATTCCGTCTTAAGGAAAACTGCCTTTACATAGTAATAATTATTTGTATATTATAAAATATATATTATATATAGATATATATATATATATATATATATATATATATATATAATAATATAGATATATCTTATGGTATGTTACATTAAAAGTTTAAGATGAAATAAAATATTTATCTGAAGTTGTTTGGGATAATAAGTTATGTTTTAGAATTGTTATTATATATTTTAACTGGAGGTATATTACTAGTTAGCATGAACATTTTCTTGTTAATGCCAAAACATTTATAGCTTCTCAAGCATGTTTAGAGTTTTTTGACATGAAACTTTTTGTATTTCCGTACTATCATCCTCATAATTATTTCTTTTCTCTTCTTGTTTAATTGTAGAAATGATTTTTTCTTTTGTTAAAGCATGCATGAATTGTTACTCTTTTTTTTGATTACGGAAGATATTAATATTCATTCGATTAGTGCAGTGAAGTTGTCGAATTTGATAACTTAATTTTACAATGACTCTTTGATTCTCCTCATCCATTTCATTTGTAACTTGCAATTCATCGATATTGGGGTCCTAATTTTGTAATGCTTAAAATAGTTGGCAATTGTTTGTGACTTCACATCAGTTGTCATGCAGCAACTGTATTCACAATTCCATCAAGGACAATTATCTTTGTTGGTTTCAAAACACGATCTTCTATCCGTTTCAAAAATAGGCAATTGAAATGCCGATATTATTAAAACATGAATTGAAATCCTAATATTGTATTACTAAAACATGAATTATGAAATAAGAAATTTTTTTAACTACATTTCTATTAAGTTATAACCTCCTCATAGTAATAAAATTATTTAGTCCCAACATTATGACTATGAAGAGGTTTTACTATATATATTTTTTTTTAAAGGGTTAAACATAGTCTTCTATACGATGATAAATAACAAAAATTTTCTTGAGATTTTTGAAATTCTTTTGTAGTTAAAATTATACTTTAAGAGTTTATAAATAATTCCAAATTGTCTTCTAAATTTCTAATAATTTATTTCAACACTTAAAATATAGCTGAAGAATTGTTTTTAAAACTTGAGTAAGAATTTGATTATTTGGTAGGTACTACCAAAAATGTAAAACAAACATCGTATTCATAATGATTTTTACCACTAAACGTGTAAAAATCATGAACGCCACATGATTTATAAATGAGCGTGGATCATAGTCAATGGTATATACGACTTGGACGGTTTGTATTAAATCATTGTTTGGACCCACTTCAATAGCCGACACAATCTAATTGCGATGGTCCCTACTTACACTATACCAAAACTCCCTCCAATTCAACTCCCGCATTTTAACACATTATGATTTGAATATTCAACGGTCGGCCATCTCAATCCAAAAACTCGCCGCCCTTACCGCACATTTTTCATTTGATCAAATATTAACCACACAATTACCTACCGGGACCCGCCTTCTCACTTGGTCGGCGATCTGTATCTCCTGATCGCCGGTTTCACCGTAGCTAAATCGCCTCATCACCGTACAAGTGTCAACATACTAAGAAAACGCGGGTCCCGGTTGATAGCTGTAAAGTCACCGACGTGTGGCTTAAAGAAAGTACAAAACAGACACTCCTGATTGGCCGCTCAGTAGTTTTTACCGGGTACCGGCTGTACCCGGTCTACAGCCGTTATTTCTGTTATATATAAATAGAAACTCTTACTGAAACACTGAGCTATAGAAAGCAGAAGCAAAAGCAAGAGTGATCAGTGAAAGCTTTTGAGCTAAGAATTTTTTGTGAAATAATTCCAAAAAAATGCCAATTTACAGAATTGCCATTGGAAGCCCTGGAGAGGCGAGCCAGCCGGACGCCTTGAGGGCGGCTCTAGCCGAATTTTTCTCAATGATCATTTTTGTTTTTGCCGGAGAAGGATCCGGAATGGCCTTCAGTAAGATCTTCAAATTCTAATATTAAGTTATCCTTTAATTTGGTTTTTGTAACATTAAGTATATAGCAAAATGTTCATGTTACGTAACTGGGTAATCAAATGATAAAACAATTTTTTTTTTTTGCAATCTTTGGTCTTTTATTTGTTGGTTTTGTGATCAAATGGTTGATGTTTCTTGTGGCAGATAAGTTAACAGATAAAGGGTCAACGACACCGGCAGGGCTTGTAGCTGCATCACTGGCTCATGCATTTGGGCTATTTGTGGCGGTTTCAGTTGGGGCAAATATTTCCGGGGGCCATGTGAACCCTGCTGTGACATTTGGGGCATTTGTTGGAGGACACATCACATTGTTGAGAGGGATTTTGTATTGGATTGCCCAGTTGCTCGGATCAGTTGTCGCTTGCTTGCTGCTTAAGTTTTCCACTGGTGGATTGGTAAGTAACTTGTCAATCTCAAGTATTTGAGAATTACTAAGAGAATGTAAAACTACAATTGTAGTTGTTCTTCTTTAGAGCCTAATCGCATTGGTTGTTGGAAAGGTCATAGTATATTGTTAAAGACCTAATTTCAATTGACTTGATGGTGAAATTGCAGGAAACATCAGCGTTTTCTCTGTCATCTGGAGTCTCTGCGTGGAACGCAGTGGTTTTCGAGATTGTGATGACCTTTGGGCTAGTGTACACAGTGTATGCAACGGCAGTGGATCCAAAGAAAGGAAATGTGGGGATTATTGCACCTATTGCAATTGGTTTCATTGTGGGTGCCAACATTTTGGCTGGTGGTGCTTTTGATGGAGCATCCATGAACCCAGCAGTCTCCTTTGGCCCTGCAGTGGTCAGCTGGACATGGACTAACCACTGGGTCTACTGGCTAGGTCCACTTGTTGGTGCAGCCATTGCAGCCATTGTCTATGACCACATCTTTATTGTCGAGGGCACGCATGAGCCACTTTCCACCAGTGATTTTTAAGAACTTTTTATCTCTTGTCAATTTATAAACATCATTCTCTCACAGCTTTTTAGATGATGGAGAGAATAAAATTTGGAAAAAGAAATGCAAATGTGTCGATGGTGGACTGGGGAAATGAAGTTGGGTTTCTATGTAATTCTGTTTAGGTTTGTATTGTTGTCTTCATTTATGTTGTTGGAGGAGTGGAAGGTGGGAGCTTCTTTGTTATCTTTACTTGTTATTTTAGTGAAATTCTCTGTTTTTGCTTATTTCTTGGACTAAATTAATCATATCCAGTCTTAGATTAAATTAAAAAGGTTAAAAACAAAACTAAAAACTAGCTAACACTATTCCATATCAAAAATTGCAAAGGCTTGAAAATTTTGACTATTGAATATGTGGAAAAGGGCAATTGTCAACTATAGTTAATGGTGATGCAGCTATTGCCAGTGTGAATAGATAATCTTTGCTTAAATGGGCATAAGTCTAATCCTGAGGTGGGCTTAAAGATTCAAAGCCATTACGGTAGCATGCAATGGCTGAATTTTGACAAGGCAACACAGGAGAATAAATTTGAGATGACTGAGAAAATTGAATGATTTACTCTAGAACCCTCAGAACAGCGGCTTGATTAACATGTTTGCTGGGTTTCCAAGTTCCGGAATTTTGCCTACTTTATCTAATGAAAAAATGGACTTGCAGAAAAGCAGAATAGCTATTTAATTTAAGTATTTATAATACGAGAGTATTTCTTTGAATCCCAATTCTAGTTATAACTGAAGTTAACTTCAGGCACTCAGATGAACCCCAGTGTTAATACAAAATATATATATATAAAGAAATCCATCGACTATTCAACTCTAAGCAATCAGTCTAAACAAGCGAGCTAGCAACTGGAACCAGAGAAGAGAGAAGTATTTTTTTTTCTTTTTCCTCTTTGAAGATTGAACAGATGAAAAATTCCCTTCCGTGATTAGACTTTCAATAATTTATTAATATGTTAAAAACACCATCATTTTCAGGACCTTACTTGCTGGTTTGATATTTGATTTTCTTGAAATATTGATAGTCCACCTGCTTAATTTTCAATTTGATATATCATCATAATATAATATTCATGCTCTGTTTGAAGAAGTATACTTTTACAGTTAATTAAAAAAAAAAAATCATTTTCAGTATAGAGACGTTAAATTCAATGCCTGCAAAGAGGTTTCCCCTGGTTGACTTTTATAAGAAAGAATAAGCTTCTTGGAGGGCCTCAACATAGCTGCAAATTTTAATTCTTAGATCGTTTTCTTATGGGCAACAAAGCTCTTACTTCCAGTAATATTGTGGCAGTTACATACAGCTTGCCTTATTTACAATGAATAATAGAAAGCCTTTCATGGACTCTCAGGATTTTATGGAAATTTTCCATCACAGACCCATATGAGTATGCTCAAGAAGTAACTCTTTCTTGTGTTTTACTTCTTCGACTAACTTATATGAACATTTTGTTTCGCTTGATCGGGAAGCCAATGTTTCCAATTTGCCCATTTTCTGTAGCTTTGACTTGTTTTCAGCATCATTTACCAAACTCCACCACCTGTTCCCATCAGATGTTGCCAGGATCACGGGATCCACAGTAACTATCTCTTGTAAACGCTCAGCTAATGTGATCTCCTCCTCCTGATTTGTGAATCCCTCAAATTTGACCACTTTGAGATATCTCAATTTTGTGTGCATACCAACTTTTATTGAGCATGTGGCTGCGCTCGTCGCGCAGTAGCTTTCAGGATCAATCTGCACATTTAAAAGTGCCTGTACATTTAACTTTCTGCTGCAAGTTTTAGTTGAAATGAGGACTGAGAGATCACTTACAGTTATGAAGAGTCGCTCTAGAGAAGGACAGAGCTTGAGGAAAGAGATTAAGGAGTCACTGTTGTATCCTTCGTTCGAATCGTCAATCCACCACAACTCTTTTAGATTATAGAACTGGAATTCCGCCCTTAAAGAGGACAAGCAAGGACATATCAGTGCCTGCAGGGAAATTTTGCATAAGTTGCAGGACAAAATTTCAAAATTAATGTCATCAGATAGAGTTTATATTCTTGGACGTACCTCAAAAGTCCATTTGCATAGCGTCAGAAGTTTGGCATTCTTTATTGTTAATAAAACTGGGTCAAAATCACATCTCTTGAAGCTACTAAATCCAGGGCCTTGCCTGGAATCAAACATGGCATCTGCCAGGTTATAATGAAATTCAGGCCAAACTGAAGGAAGTAGTCCTCTATATCGGAAAGTTTTGAGTTTTGGAGACTTGATATGGATGTATGTCAGTTGTGGGCAATCAAAGACGGTCAAATGCTGAAGCTTTGTATTGGAGTTTATGCATAAAGATGTCAGCCCATTGCAGTCAGTGATCTTCAAATTCTCAAGAAACTGAAAACTCGAAACTGTAGACGAAACCGCCTCATTAGAAAGATGGTTAACTGAGATTAGATTAAGAGTTTTGACAAAGAAGGAAGGGGTAGTTGGCTGGTGGACAAGGTTTTCACAATTCAACTCCAATTCGAAACCAAACTGCGTTACCAGATCCTGTCTCTCAGTAGAGAAATCTAAATGAAGTTTATTATTCGGCGCAATAATAGCTGAGAGGATACCATCTTTCCCAAAATGAAACCGAAGCTTCCTGGTATTCTTTGTAGGATTCTGCTCATTGAAATTTGTAAGAAATCCTGAAACTGCACTGGCAACCTCTTCTTTGGTTCCATGTTGAACCAAAGCCAAATTCCACAGAAGCCTCCACCGGTTTGACAGAAAAATGGTTTGAATTGCAGACTCAAAAGGGAGTAAAGAAATTATATGAAAAAGGATTTCATCAGGCATCCTGCTGATCATATCACCTTCCATAACTGGATTCCTGCACCAATATCTTGTTAGCCTTCTCAATATTCAGAACAATCTCAGTATAAACAAAAAATAAAAAAAAAAATAAAAAAGAAACTTCTTACTCTCTTTGATCTTCAGGGATGTTGTTTATATATTGCAGAGGTCAAAATCCAGATATGGCAGGCAGTTTTGAATGGATTAGTCTATTTTTTGGTCACTTATTGAGGTAAGAAGGCAAGAAATATTGTTTGACATTGTCAATAAGACCAACCTATTATTTTTATTTCCTATAGGGCCAAGTTAGGGAAGAAATGAATTCATTTGTTCTAAGAATCTCACCTTAAGATAATTTCTTATTTTACTCCAAATATCCAATGGGGACACATTGAGTAAGAATTGTTAGTTGAATGTCTGCACTGCAATTGACTTAATGTATGTATACAAAAGTTTGTGTGTCTCTGTTGAAGAAACTTTTATAGAGTAAACGACTTTTTCCACCAAGGTTTTCCTTAACGACACTATCCCCCCAAGTTTATATTCGTTAATACCCAAAATACATTTCACTTTCTCAGTTGGCATTCGGCGAGTTATCAGGAGTTAGAGTAAGAAGAGTTTTGTAGAGTGGAAACCGATGGATTAAATGGTGGTGACCGATTGAATATTCGCTATCGGAATCAGTCAGAAATCAGCAAAGAGCAATAACTCTAACTTTATGGTAGTCGACAATCAACAAAAATCAGGTGTCGAAGTGAGAGAGGTTTTTTAGAGAGGAGATCGGAGGTTCAAATGGTGGTGATGGAGAGAATTTGTACCTCCAGAATTAGCTTTGGGTAGTAATAGAATATTAACTTTGGGTGGAAAGTGGTATTTGAAACTTTGGGTGGAAATGGTATTAAGGCAAACTTTGGGTGGGAAAAAGTCATTACTCAACTTTATATACAAAAGGTGAACTTACATTGTTACCCCCAAATTTGACTTATCGACTGTTATCCCTTGGTTTCAAAACTGACATCATCATCCCTTCCATTTTGGCTCTAATTTCTGATTTTGAAAATTGTGGTATTTATTAAATTGAGGTGAAATCTTGATTTACACTTCACTCCATGATTTCAAAAACTAACATTATACACCCTCAATTTCAAAGTCAAGCAAAAAAGGAATGTATATAGCCAACTTAATAATCACAAATCCAACCATAAAATCTGATAACTTACTAATTATACCTTAAAAACAATAAATACTATATTACCAATACATAGCACAAGACTATGAGACTTGATAGACTTGATAGTCTACAGCGTTCCAATTATTTTTGCCTTGTTATTTTTCATGGCTAAAGTGTCCTTTAAACAAACCCTTACATTGTAGGAATTAAAATTATTAAGGTGGCTATATATGAGAATATTTAAAAAAGAACAAATAAAGGGCGATATAGTTAGTTTTAGATTACCGGGTGGGATTGTGTGTTATAGAAGCGGGATCTTGCATTTTTAATCAGCAGAAAAAAAAAAAAAAAAAACCATCTCTGTGAATGATGATCTTTCGTTGACCATGCAAAACCAATACTCAAACATGTCTAGCTCTATATTCCATGGAAAAAAAAGTTCTTGAAATTATCAAGAGAACCTGATTAATTTGATTGTAAATAGATTTGAAACTTTCTTACCTCAGAACTCAATCGTCCCAGCATATGTAATTGTTTGTCATTTTCAGAAAATGTTTTATATTGTTTGTCATCTTCATCTTCAGATAGTAACAGAGAATGTTTAAAGACAAACTGACAATGTTTTCAGCATGTTCATAATGGGGCTATACGTATCTTCAGTGTAAGCTGTATTCCTCTGAATCTTTATTTAAATAATTTTTTTTTTAAAAGAGTAATGTGCCTTGTTATGAATCTTGTCCAATGTTGAAAGAAACTTCCACCTGTTTCCTTTTCGATATCATCCAAATTAGAGGTCTGTCTCACTGCATTTTGTGTTGACTCTCAATTAAAGGAATACTTCTTGCAAAAACATCGTATAAGTTGAGCGTAGAGACAAAATAGATAAGGTGCGTTTTTCTCCATATTTTTGTCCAATCATATTCCTATCATTTCTAAAATATGCGATTGTTTCTCTATTATAAAAATACTATTATATTTTATTCAATTACTTTTACACTCTTTAAGTTTATTAATTTATAACACCTCAAAAAAGTTTAAATTTTAACAAAAACACCCCCATTTACCCACATTTACAAGATTCTGGCCACCATTGCTAGAAGGTGGCCGAAATCTAGTATAATGGCACACTATCGATTGGATTTGGCTGATAGTGCGCCGATCTACCATTTTTTGGCTAGATTCACACCATTTTTCAACTTGATCCACCGTAGATCTGGTTGAAAAATGTTAGAT